TATTTAAAATTGAAGAAACTCTTTTGAAACGAAGGACAAAGATTGTCAACAACAAGAATGATAAAGACAGAGAATAATTTGATAAATGAACTTGAAATAGAAGCGGAGAGAAATGAGCTAAAAATGAGGAGAAAGAATGTGTGCATTCCGTTACATTTCGTTGTTTTTTAAAATAATTTTGCTTTCTAAGAAACTTTAAAAGTTATCAGAAATAAATCTCTCAAAAGAATGAGTCGAGCGGTGGAGGAGTTGAAGAATTGACAACGAAATTGGGACGTCTCTCTTCGCTATGCCCTATTGCTGAATTTCGCTGCGCACAAATTTTCATATCACTTTTACACTCAGTATATATTTATTTCCTCATAATATAACATCAATTTCATAAAATTTAAAATAAATTCAACACTTTATGTACAAAAGGGCATCACGTTATATACAATTAATTGATTCATGCAAATTTGATTTCAATTCTAAAGTTCATTTTAATCCTAGATACAAACTAACAAACGAACTCTGAATTATTAAGTCAAAAACCAATTGCAGCGAATAGTTCATAACTTTAAGCTTCATTCTCTCCTAATAGAAAAAGATTTTAATTTTAAATTTTAATGAGTTGTCGTACTTCGAAGATTGGAGTTACTAAACTGTATTGAAGTGAGATTTTTCTGCTCGATTAATGCTAAAGAAGATAAGCCTGACTGTTGATTAGAAATTATTAATAATATTCACAATTAAAACATAGATTTAGAAAAAAAATCAAAATGATTAGAATGTTTATCGATAGCAAATATTACAACATCAATTCAAATCTATTGCATAACCTTTAATTTAATTCAAAGAATTAAGTAATTATAACAATAAGTAAGGTTAGAAAAAATAAGGCATTTGGTGAGAAGTTATAAAATATACAAATTGATTGAAATATTGATGAAAATGAAAGAAAGACAAATGAAACGACTAGACAGAAATAACTTTTTTCTTGCATTGGCTTATTTAAAATTGCTATTAAAGTTTTGACAGAAGAATTTTTGTAATGAAGATGCTTCAGTTTCTTAAAGAAACAAAAATATTCACCGCTTCTTTAAATTTTACAACCATTGATTTTCATCTGGCAACATTAAAATGCAAAATAAATTTTCAGTGTTTTCTTTTCATTTTCTTGGATTTCTTAGCTTTCGATCTAATATTTAACTGATATTTCGGTTCGGGAGCTCCTAAGTCACCAACATATCTCTCCCGAACGTATTTGTGCAAACCACACGGTCGATTCCATTCTTGACCTCTTTCATGAAACCATTTATTCGCTGTCCATTTAATCCCCGTTAATACCGGACATGCAGCATGCAGAGAGCGCATATCTGCCGCACCGTCGCGCATCAAATTATACCAAAACAGTGCTGCATTCTGCAGAAATCCAGATCATCATTCGTTAAGCACATTGCAAAACAGGCTACAGCTACAATTCTAGAATTTTTCATAAAATTTGAAGAATTTTCAAACAGATATCACAGATTTATTTCGATTGACTTTGTCTATTTGTTGCATAAATTTTCTTTTCATACTTAATCTATCATATAGAAAAACAGACTTGTTGAGATTGTTAACTTCGAAATCAACTATTCCATTTCTCTATAAAAATCATCAATAGATATTATAAAATATTTTGTGCAATAATAGCATCTACCTAGCTGTATAGCATCTAATACCCAATATCTAAAACAGAGCTAACCTTAGTGCATGGTATTGATGTTTTCGAGTTGATGAATACTGTTCTACCACCGATTTCCGGTTCAGTCATCTGTAATGAGATGAAAATAATTGTTTGCACAGTTATTTTCAACTAAAATGATTGAATTATTCAATTCAAACGAAAAACGAATGAAATATATGTGAATGAATACATAAATCAAAGCCGTAGCTATTCGATTTCCAGTTCCCAAGCCTTCGAAGGCACCTTCTTTCTTCTGAAAACATGATCCATCGTCATTAGCATATAAGTTAATTAAGAAATCTCAGATGATAAATTAGCTCTTGAATATGAAATGGGATATTGTATGCAAGATCAGTTGAAATGTATTTATTTCCATACGATTGTATCGATTATTTTCCAATTTTTAAAGTTTCTAATTTTTAAGTGACTGTTTTAAAAAGTTTTTCGTTTGAAGTGTATTTTGAATGAGAAATTGAAAAAATGATAACAGTGCTTAAAGACAAAATAATGATAAAATAACTATAGAAGATAGCACTTATCCTTGAACAATCTAAGTGAGGTTCATAATATCCACCAACTCCATAATTCTGAACCTGAAATTTTTTAGATGTTCAAATTAACTAAATCAATAAAATACAGAGTCTTAATAGAGAAGCGGTCAAAATTTTTACGCAGTATTAACAGTCATTTTTTAAGATCTGAAACAATGAAACAGTAGCAATTAATAATTTTCATAATTTTTAACTTCTCTGATTTCTATCATGAAATTTAGAAATATGAAGGGATAACCTGAAGTTCCTCTGCAGTTTCTGTATTGAGATTTGTTGCCAAAGTAAGACGTTTATCGATGCGGTTAACAACTTCATGTTCCGATGATTTCAACCAACCACTGCGAATGAACTCATTATCAGGGAAAATTTACCTCATATAAAAAAAGGTCGGGTTAATTGATAAAAGATTCTATCAATTTTTGTGCTTTGTTTATCAAATAGGCGTTAAAATGGAAACATTGTTACTAATTAATCAGAAAATGAAAGAAAAACGAAAAGAAACACTTTTTTAGTCTTTTCATAATTTAAAATAAATTTTCTTTAATTTAACCTTTTACTAATACGATAGCTAGCTGTTTCAAGTCGTCCAGTTGCAGGATTATGAACTGTGGCCCGGTATAACTGAAAATTGCCATAGTGAATACAGTAATCTAGTTCAATAATCACTCTTCTGTTCCATTTCTTGACTTTTATAAATAAACAAGAAGTTCCTGTAACACTAAACATACCTTAGGCGTTGCAAGCAATTCGAGAATTCGTGATTCTTCATTCGATATAAAATTATGGAACAGTACAGCTAATGGATTTTGCTGAGCAATTTCTACTTTAAATGGTGCCAAACGTAAATATGGATGATCCATTTTATAGTAACAATACAATAGCGACTGTTTCTTTGTACTCTGCAAGGAATTCAGCCAAATTTAAATTATAATAAATCTTGAAATTTTACAGGTAGCAGCATTTCTTTAATGAAGTAAATTCAAGCAAAATATGTAAAAATGTGAAGCTATTTGGTATTTAATGATTTCTAATATCGAAAAGTTTAATAAGTGATTAACTGATAACCGATGCTATCCAAAAGAAATGAGCTAACAACAATTTGGAGTGTTACAATTTAATTTTGAAGCATGAAAAAAATGCAAACACAGTTAATGAAGGCTTACGACGGGTACTTCATGTCGACATAACGCTTCATATGCATTCTTTTCGCGTTTTTCCATCATACTTTTATGACGCGGATTATTTATTGATGGAATTTTTCGTCGCATATCAACAGGCTGAACTCCCTCATCTCCCAGTAATTCTTCATATTTTATTATGTTATTTCTTGCTCGTGGATGATTCGGATCTGCAATTATTTTCTGCGTGTGTAATAAAACATTTCCTGCTAAGTAAAGAATTGAAAGAATAATTAATTTGCCATTAAAAATGATGTAGCTTACACTGCATATGAAACCAATCGCTAATCACACTTCTACTCAGCAAAATTCAATAAAAATTTAGCATTTGCAATATTTAGCAAAATGTTAAAAGTGATGGCAGAGAAAGGTTTTAAAATGTTTGAAAATTAAAACAAAAATTTATAAGGTTTTAAAATTTTACTTCTAATCTGCATTTACAACTTATTGCAAAAAAAAATGAATAGTAAATGACTTACTCATGCGATATAATTCATCCGTAAGTAATAAGGCTCGTTTCAGATTACCCTGTTTGTAGAGTGCGAAGGCCAAGTATTCAAGAATATCTTCCGTATCTACTGTTGGCTTACTCTCATTCTGAACACGTTCTTGCGCTTCTTGCATCCACAGAATGGTATGATAATAGTCCTTCAAATTGTATGCTGCGCGACCAATTTCAAAACAATCTCCAGCTGCAACATTCGAAATTCTGAAATCGATATATTTCCGATTTTTAACATTCTTTCTGTCTCTCTCTCTCTCTTAAGGAAAGCAAAAAAAAAAATTTACTAGTACCTTCCTTTTCTAGCAATTTCCACTGCAAATCATTCTTTTTGAGAGTCAAAACTAACCAGTCAGGGCAACGGTTTGCATTTCAGAATTTAGAATTTTCCCTTCAGCCATATCTTTGGTATCCATTTGATACAAATCTTGCAAACGTAACAAACCATCTACTGCACCTTCCAAATCTGTCTAAATAGTATTTCAATAATAGTTTGTAATCTCATTAATTTTTTTTTCATGTTTAATCACATCTGTAGCTGTTAAGCATATATCAAATAACTGATAAGATAGCGTGAAGACGCATCAACATGACCAATTTTGCAAGCGACCAAATTCAGATTAGCGCTTAATTTTAGAGGAGCGGGGCCTGAATAATAAAAGCTAATTGCATTATTTGGTCAAATACCTTTGGCCTTATAGCGCTCACTGGCGTGAACTAAATGCATTTCTGTCCTTCAACTCACATCAAGCGTTAATGACGTTCACATTCAGTAAGCAGCAAAAAAAAAAAACTGTTATCAAATTCAAAATGATATTTTCGTTAAATAATCATTTTTATTCTAGCACAAATATTTGAAGAACGACAGGCAAAAAGAAAGACGAACCTCTGTCGGATATTTTATACGCTTATTAATCCGTTGAAGAGTCACGTTGTGAATGAAATCATCAGCGGAATTGGCTCGCATAATTTTTGTTGCTTTGTCCCAATCCATTTTCATCTCTTTAATTAACAGGAACGCATTGATCGGATTTAATATTGCTTCCGTACCATCTCGTATAGCTTTATTATTATGTTCTTCTACTTCTTCAGCGAACCTAAAATTATAGCAGTTATTTATGATAAGATAGTACTGAGTATTGGTAATACCGATAGTGTTACAGAAACTGCTATAGAATCTTTTAATTATTTCAAAAATTCATCATTTCTTTAACTTTAACAAAATAACAAAAGTGATTGTGGTGAAAGTACGGTATCCTTATATTTCCCGATCTTAACATATACCTTTTCCAATAACATATACCGAACTAGAACTATCCTATTTGGTATATATCTAAAGAACCTACACTTTCAAATCTACCATAATCTATCAAATTTGAAATTCGAAAAACCTAAAATGGTTTATGTATGTGATCGAAAAGCAACAAAAGTAATACTTCTAATGGATGTGCTTTGAAAGCAAAACATCATGTGAGCAGGCGGAAAGGGAATTTAAAAAAAACCTATTTCTTCTTTAATTCTATTTTTTACCACTTCTACTGCATTATGAGTTATTTTTGAAAAATTGTCGATTGCGAGAAATCTTAGATTTGGTGAGTTTAAATTTTTTGTTAAGCATGATTATGTTAGCAATGGACGTGAAAGAAAGTTTTTAATTTCATTGCCAAAAATTTGATCAACCATTCCACTTTACTAATGATTAGTATTTATTTTAATAATTGCTATATTTTGTTCATGTCAGCGAAAAAATCACGATATTTCAACTTTTAAAAGTTTTATATTAAAATGAAAAAATGAAATGAAATTCAGAAGAGTCAAATTCAATTCAATTTAATTTAAAAAACGATAAAAGCACTTACTTCCTTAGATAATCAAGTCTTTCTAATTCTTTTTCCACATAATCATTAATCATTACTGGAATATCCCTCTCAGCTCCAATTAATGCGTTTAATGATGCAAGGGATGAGAAACTATCGGCAAAAACTGTACCAATCAATAGCAGTATATTAAATACTATCAATCCAATCATTTTTCTGCAATGTATTCATATTACTATTCATTTGTACACTTCTGCAAAATAATCTAAATTCCAACAACTATGTTGTAGGAACTCGAAATACGAACTGTAAATATGAATTGAAATTAATAAAGTTAATAAAGTTAAAATGGATGAGGAATAGTGTAGGATGTTCTAGACATAATAAAGTGACCTATCACTTTGTTATCTGTACACGGAGTATTTTAGACTTAAACCGCCACAAAAAAGAACTTCTTTTTTTTTGGAACCCAAAGGTCTCCAATATCATACTAATTAGTTAATCATAATTCCATAACAGAAATATAATTCAAATGACAAAATGAGCTAATTTAAGGCATGTTTGAAATATCGCACATCTGTTTGGGAAAGTGATATTCAAAAAGATATTAAAATTAGAGGAAGGAGCGAAGGAAGAAAGTATGCTGATCGGAGGGTGCATCATTCGAGGATTTCAGGTAGTCATTCCACTTTACTGCAGCAATAACCAAAAATGAATCGTCCATCTCAATTGATCATTCCGTTTTTTGAAGAAAAGAAGTTCCGCAGGGCGTCCTCTTTTTTACATGTGCTCATTGCTCACCTCTTTATGACAGTGACATTACCAACGATTGTTCGAATGGAATAGTCTTTTTGAAGTTTATTAACAAAGCAATTATCCGAAATCTATCTACAATATTAAAATTGTTAACTTTTTATTACTGATAAATTTGTGTCAACGAAATTGT